AAATGTTTATCTCTGTGAGATCTAAAACTTTTGTCTAAAACATTTATCATGATTTTTTGTATTTACTGAGATAAACGTAAAAAACTAGAATTTTTATGGGTTTTTCATGGTTTTTTATGATAATCAAGTAGTCGCCAATTTTCACTATGATATTCGTAATCAGCGCGTCAAAATACGTACGAATACTGAGTTTTACTAAAATTGGGGGTGAGTACTTTTTGGAACTTTATCCATTATACAGGGTATCGATAGTGTCGGACATAAGTTCCTCCACCTCGAGTATATACTTCAGGTATTCCAGAGCCTCTTCGAGCAGGAAAGTGGTGTCGTTCATCAATATGTTGATAAACTAGACGAAGTTCTTGCCGTTATTACTCTCATTGACGATAGATGCTCGATACATCGGGCTATGCTACAACAAATTTAAGATCACACTTATGTGATAACATATTGTAAACTTGTCCTCAAATTCGGAACTAATGTCAATGATTTCAACGTCGGTATAAAACTTCATGAGATACAACGCCAGAAATGTCTTGGATATAAGATGTGCCATGAATTTATGGCCAAAAGTTTCTGTTACCCGTGTACAAACTCCTATCTAAACTTTATATAACTTAAATGAATAATAAAGAACTTCGATGATTTTTACGATTAGATGCGGATTTCGTATACAATGTGACGTATACACAGAGATAATCCTCTTCCTGAACTTCCGTTGCCTAAAGAAGTTACGTGCAAATTCACTGCATTACCAGAACGGTACGTGGAAGACATAGTGGAATTCTTGTTATTCACATTTGAATAAGTTTTTACTAAATTATCAAATCTCACAATTATACATAATGCTTATCTGGAGCTTATTAACAATTATAACTGCATTGTTTTATTTGCAAATTCTGCCCAATGTGGTTTGATATGGATATATTGCCGCTTATCACTTTGTTACTCGTCGTACAAAATAACTGTTTTAATTTCTATAAAAAATTAAAAATTTATACAAATAAAAAAAATGTTTCTTCACAAGTGGCGCGTGTACTTGGCGCCTTTTTTTTACCTTTTTTAAAAAAGGTAAGTTTTTAGGGATATTAGGTGACATTAGATTCGGCAGTATTTCTTTCGGTAAATATAGCGAATAGGGGACCCAGCCTGGCATCTGCCGAAATCGCGGTCCGCGATCCGTAATCGATATTCTATCGATCCGCCGAAATCGCGAACCGCGCCACCCATCCGTGCGTTGCATTAGATGCACCGCGCCCGACACAACCGCACCGCTGTCCGTTCTGCATCTTACACGTATACACTTGCATTATTGTTGCACACATACCGCCGTTTGCATTCCATATATGCATTCGATACTCTTGCGCACGACTATTATACATCCGCGCACGCACTCACTCGTCGATCGTCTCACACACACGCATATACACACGCGCACACACCGTCTATACGCATACACTCACGCTGTACAAACACACATTTACACGCAATAAATTATATTTTACCTAACAACACGTTTCGTTCGTTTCTCGATGCCCTTCCACGAGCCCCGGATTCCGACCGAGTTATCCGTCACCGTCTCGCAAAAGCGGTTTATTACAAATATATAAGTTCTATCTAAGAATCTTATATCTAAATTATATCATTAATCTACAATTTATTATAAAGTAATATATTACTGCAACATTTATTCAGCATATACTTAGCTTCGATGTAAAATAAAATGTTTTAGTAAAAAAGCAACTGTGAGTAATATGTGTGTATGCGTGTATGTGTGCGCGCGCGTGTGTGCCCGTATGTGTGTGTATACAAAAGCTTATATAAAATATTTAAAACTTTCTGAAAAAATGTTTGTTTTTAAATAATAATAAATATCTTGAAAATATTATTCTAAAGAAGTACAATTTACTTTAAACAAATATTGTTTTATATAAAAAAACATGAGGATATTTATTCTGGATGATATCCTCTAAAAATATGATTCCATTGCGAAGGAACTGCTCCTTCATTGGAAAAATAGTTTGCCATACTATCCGGAAGTTCAATCATGGTTCTGGAAGAATTATTTGATCCTAAACGTCCAATTCAGGCCTGGCCCACAAACTGCAGTTCAAGCTTCCCCGTTTCTCTTTCCACTCGCGCGAGGCGTACCGTCTTGAGGTACGTACTGTAGCATGTTGACTGAGTGTAGGAAGGGCGGGAACAGGCAGCCGCGCGAAGAAAGAACATGTTCTCCTTCTCGCGTGCTCCGTGGGCGCCCTCGGAGCCAAGCCTGGTCCAATTCTTTCAAAATTGTTCATACAATCATCTCTAAACAAGCCTGGTATAATGTTCCCATCAGAATAAACTTTATCGATAAAAGATGAAGGACAATATACTCTTTCATGCGCAGAAATTTTTTCTTCAGAAACACGTAAAAAATTATGCAGACACACTGTAGCTGCAACAATTTTCTCTATAGTTTTTACATCAGCAATAATATTATTTCGCAATATTCGCCACCTTGATGATAGAATGCCAAATGCATTTTCAATTGTTCGTCGCGCTCTTGATAACCGATAATTAAAAATTTTTTTCTGAACGTCTAAATTTTTTCCAGGGTAGGGTCTCAGAATATAAGGTTTTAACGGAAACGCTTCATCTCCTACAAAATAATGTGAAAATAAACTATTTGTATTTGGCAATGGTGAGTCTGCTGGTAACTTTATTGTACCAGATTCCAGTGCTCGTTCAAAGGTTGATTCTTTAAACACACCCCCATCACTTTGTGAGCCAAAAGCTCCAATGTCCACAAGTGTAAATATGTAATCAGCGTCACAAACAGCCATCAATATGATGCTAAAAGTTTTTTTATAATTAAAATAAGCACTTCCAGATTTATTTAGAGCTTGAATGATTACATGTTTCCCATCTATAGCACCACAACAATTGGGAAGGTTCCATTGTTCATTAAATCTTTTACTCTTGTCTCGCCAATCTTCAATTGTTGGTGTTTTTAAATAAATTGGAGAAAGAATTTCCCAAATGGCTGCACAAGTTTCACGAACGATTACAGATACAGTTGTTTTTCCTATCAAAAATGACCACGCTACTACCTGCATACTGCAGCCTTGTGCCAGATAACTGAAATAATAATTTATGTAATATTATTATATAATGTTATTATTTTTAAATATTGACTTTATTATATATAAAATAATGATCATCTATTAGAATTTCTAATACTTGTACACTTATAATAATGTAATAACAAGTCTGTGTTCAGGACTTATTGTTTGTCGGTTGTTGTGCTTGGCTAATTTATGTTGAATAAGATTCAATAATGCATATAAACATTCGGGTGATATCCTCGTATATTTTGCAAAGTGTTCTTTATCGACTCTCTTCATGTCATAAAATAAATTATGAAAATGTCCTTTCATTATTCTTTTTCTATTTGTTGGGCGTACACCCCAATGACGTTTTCTTCTGTATGCCTTTGGTATTACGTTAGCTGCATAATAAGTTAAGCCAAGGATTGTTATAAACATCGCACTCACAATTATTTTATCAGAATCCATTTCATTAAAAAATATCAAAAGGATCAGTGTCATTATATTTATAATAATTATATTTCAAAAGTAGTTACGAGGTTAGATATTTGACAGTTTTGAATAAATTCGGATAAATCAGTAATCTATATTTCAATATATCTATGGTTTTCGGCATACAGCAAACCATTATAAACCCGAGCATCAAAATTTACGGCATAAGTTAACGGCCTTTAAATTACCAGCGTACGGTTACGGCCTCTATAAACCAGCCTTAATCCTTAAGGTGCCTTTTCATGGGCATCAGTTGACGCGCGTCAAAATGATTTGTGACATCATGTTGGTTTCTGCGTCGACGCTGAAGAAGTTCAGATTTTCCAACTTCTAGCGTCAAAGCATCGCGCGCGGTAAAAGTGTCGTCGCCAATTTGTTGTGGTAGTGTCGGCTCGGTAACAATTGAAATAAAAGCGAAATGGGTTCATCCGATGTAAGTAGTAACTTAATCAATTATATACTATTGTAAAATTATTTATATATATTAAAGAAATAAATATAATTTCAGCAAGTTTTCGTAAATACATGTGGAATTTGCGAAACTATTGTGATTGAAACGGAGATGTATGATCACAGTTGTGTGGCAGGATTTTCTAAAATTTTCATAGATTATGATTCAAGATATTTTTATCCGCAATGTGGTAAGTTAATTCAATTAAAATATTGATTTTATGAAAATCCTGATTTATCGCACTAAGTAAACGCGCAGCACGAGACCGCCACGAGATATTTATACAAGATAAAAATATTTGCTAATTTAGGACAAATCTATCAATGGTTTGTTATTTATACGTTACATGAAACATAACTTGTAATGTCTGTAATAATTGCTTGTTGAAAATGGAGACATAATTCGCAAGAGCGCCTTACCAGGAGGCATGGAAGCAATTGTTGTCGACCCGATAATATCACAACAGGACACTGACAAACCTGTTTCTGAGGCGACCAACTCTTTCAACCAACCTAGTTTAGACGAAAGACTGATTGAAGAGGTGAGAAGGCGTGAGCCACTATATAACTTTCGATTGCCCCTTGCCCAACGTGGTCGAAAACAAACAAAAGAGATATGGCAGGATATTTTCACTGAATTAAATGGTAATGCATTATATTACATACTTTATCTTCGCAATTAATTTATATTTGAAATGAATATTTATAAATCTTTTGTACTTTAGGAGAAATAAGCGCTGATGATGCCGCAAAGCGTTGGAAATCATTAAGAAACACCTTCATGAAGATTATTGCTGAGGAGCGGCAGCCGAGTGGCTCCGGCAGAGCTTCTTGACGGGAAAAATGGTGGTTTTATGATCAAATGTGTTTTGTTCGCGACACATTGTTAAATACACCGTACGTAAACTCCATATCAATTTTTTTGCATTAATAGTAATACGCACAATATTATTCGAGATATTTCATTTTGCAGAACAGTCTCAAATGAAAGCCGGCGGCAATCTTTTTCTGAAGAGGATACGTCAAGTAGTTCCCAAACAGGTAAGCATTTTTATTCATTTAATTCAAGAGAAGTATTTGACAACAAAGTGACTATTCTCCAATGAAGGATATACGAATATTATCTTTTTGTAGTTTATACCAATTACAAAAATTAATTTTTTCCATAAATTGTTCCTAACAGATAAAAGTTCCAATAGAAATTTGAAGGACTCCATCGAGCGAGTGGTTGAAGCAATTAATACTCCGCTGCCATCTGTGAAACTTCCACCAATGTCTCAGGTCACTGACAATGAGTGTATATAGATTTAAGAAGCCTACATTTATGGAATCATGAATTACATAGTACATATATAACAATTTAACAATTTATCCGGGATAACTTCCTTTCAGTCATGAAATATTAAAACTCAATAATTTCCAAATTAACTACCAGACTTGAAACAAATTTAACAAGTGATTCCATAAATTAATATTCATAAGTATTAATATAGCTTTTTCATATTATCCTATAGCTCTAATATTGTAAAACTACCCGAGATGAAAGGAAAGCGCATAGAAGATGCATCCGAGACACCTGATACGGCGAGCGATAAACAAGTGCATAGATCCGCGGCGGCTCCGAGTAATCCGCGATATATACGCCAAGACATAAACAATCGATAAGAACTTACTGCTAATTGATCGGCAATTCAAAGAAATAGTTTCATCATAGATTTCCTTAAAAGACCTTCATCGGAATGAATTTCTAGAACGCAAACTAAATTCCCAGAACGATTTGCACACGAGCCGCAACACCTTTGATTCTCAATAGTATATAAGCTGTAGATTTTTACCCTCACGAGTAGTTCAGCAGATCGTCTCAATTCGTAACTGTGTCTCTATCATCTTCATTATACTGTCAGTCTCGCGTTAGATTCATAAGTTCAAATTGTGTAAAGTCCGGAATAAAAGACTTTGTGCATATACCTGCGTACATCAATCCAGCCTATCTCATCCACGGGTTCTTGCAAATATACGGCGTATTAGTAACTACAGGACGAGAAAGGAGGGCTTAAAATGAGTACAAAGGACATTGAACAAAAGAAGGATTCCTTGCTGCAATGCGGTACTTACCGCATTGCAGCAAGGAATCCTTCTTTTGTTCAATGTCCTTTGTACTCATTTTAAGCCCTCCTTTCTCGTCCTGTAGTTACTAATACGCCGTATATTCTCAAACAAAGGAAATTTTACTTCAGAATCTATAATTGATTAACAGCCCATTAACTTCATTCAAAATTATTATCTCAATTCCTACTCCATCGTCGTCCAGCATTTGAATGCTTTAACAATATTCTTACATTCTTTTAAGCATAAAAGAAACCACTGTAAAGCATTGGCATATCGCTAACAGTTTCCTAATCACACAGTCAACTTTAATAATCCATTATTATACATTTATCTTCCTGCAATCATTTGAACCATTCCTATATTATAATATTAATACTAGACAATATTTAGATTTTGTTTAGAAGTTATACTGCTGTTGTCACTCGGACGTGGTCCAACCTTTGAAACCAGGTTACCATGGCCATTTATTGTCCCGGTGACACTTTACTCTTTTTCCCGAATTTCCATCGTTATGGAGCATCGAAGTATGCCCTCGATCAGCGCCCTCCCATCATCACCCTATATAATTCCATCGTCTGTCGAGCACATATTGTGCCCTTGCCTGCCATCGTCTGTCGAGCATCATAATGGGCCCTTAATTGGCCTTCCTTTATCTTATAACCTTCCAATAAAACTGACAACAGGAGATTAAATAAAATACAAAATATATCATCATTCTAATTCGAATGAATTTTTGCAGTGGTTCTTACGTAATAAATGGAGTTTTTTCCGTCATCACTGACGAAATGACTGAACTCAAAGAAACGAAAGAAAATAGATTTCATCAGAAATGTCTGATTTTACGTCCTGTATTAATAAAACCGAGGTTCAAATATTTGATTGCTGTTCAGTTTAGTTTAACACACGCACACACGTACATTGTGTGGTTAAAAACATAGCGGAGTAAAATACGTGACAAGTCTTTTGATACATGCTCACACTTTATTTTGTCTTGTCAGATACTTTTTTTACGTCAGATACTGTCACGTAAGGTGTAACAAAATTCTCATTGACCAGTTTTGTCGTATTCAAATGCAGAAGGTTTGGATATGATGCTTATTTTGGTGAATGTGATGGTCAATTTAGAACTGCTGCAAGATTGTGGCGAGAACGATACCCAGATCGCGCTCCTTAGTCGCACAATGTTTTTTCTCGCTTAGCTAAACGAATTACCAGTAAAGGTATTATTCAACCGGATCATAATAAAGATAGACGAATTCGACGCCAAGTTAGGGACAAAAGGACACCGAAGATTCTTGCATCCGCTCAATTGCATCCCCACGATTCATTAAAACGTATAGAAAGACATTCTGGTATTAATCATAGCACGATCTGGCGGATTTTTAATGAAAACAAGCTGCACCCGTACAGAATGTCTCTTTACCAAGCATTGACAATTGCCGATTTTAAATACAAACTCAAATTTTACAATTAGATACGTCAACAAGCGCGAAACTTTCATCAGAAAATATTATTTTATTATATGATCATAGTGTAAATGTTGCAGAAAATACGTGGTTTGAGAGGTGCCATGTTTCTGCAGCAACTTGCATGCTGATTACATATAGTTTTGATGTCAACTTCACTTTTGAACAGACTGTGAGGGAAAGTAGTATTATAGAAGGTCAGCAAATTTCGCGGGAAACTGTTGCTGACAGATTTTCTTTTTGTCGAGAGATCTGCATGGTTGCTCTCGACCAACAATTCGACGATGAAGGCCAAATTGGAGGTGTTGGCGAGATTGTGCAAATTGATGAATGCAAGATCGGTCGCCGCAAATATGAAAGAGAACGTGTAGTTGAAGGTTCTTGGATTTTGGGAATAATTCACAGGGGCTATGCACATAAGTATCGGTTGGAAATCTATCCTGATAATAAGAGAGATGAGAACACCTTGGTCAAGTTAATAAAAAAACATGTAGCTGCAGGGACAGAAATTCATACCGATTGTTGGAAGGGCTACATAAATTTAGAAAATCATGGCTATGTGCATAAGACTGTGAATCACTCTGAAGAATTTGTGAACCACGATACTGGAGTTCATACTCAAAACATAGAGTCTTCTTGGCGCTGGATGCGTCGATTTCTATCTCGTGGAGGAGTTTGTAAGAGCAACCTTGCAGATCACCTTTGCGAATTCTTGTGGCGGCAACGTGTCAAGAAATTAAACGTAGATCCGTTTATTCAATTACTTGCGGATGGTAGGATTTGCTATTCTGGCAGTAGCACTTCTGTTTGTGAGAGGCGAGGGGACTCACAGTAAAAAAGCACCCCGGTTTGTGAGAGGCGATGGGACTCACAATTAAAAAGGACCCTGGTTTGTGAGAGGCGAGAGGACTCACAGTAAAAAAGAACCCCGGTTTGTGAGAGGCGAGGGGACTCACAGTTAAAAATCAATCTAAAGTTAGGATTTTTGTGTTAACGTTGTTACTGTTGTTGTGCCTCTAGCCGCTAAGGAAGAGGTCTTTAGGGATTTATACGCCCAAAGGATTAGGATCCACGCTCGAAATAAGACACTCCCGAACGTTAGGTATAAATTGATATATTTCACAGGTTTTTGTACACTTTCACTTATTCGCGATTATAATAGTCGGACGCGATACGTACGGTATATCGATACTGTCGAGATGAGCGAGCAAGTAGCGAGCGATGTTAATGAGCTATGTTACTGAGCTAGCGTCGGTGCATCTCGCGCTCAATATATATTAATTAATTAGGTCGTTGATTAGGGAGGAGTGTGGTGTCCCTGACCGGAGCATGTCTCGTGCTCCACTCGTCAGCTGTCTCGTCAGCTGCTTACTCAGCTTCCGAGAACTTGACCGTGACTTCCTTCTCTTTAGTCACGAATCTTTACTTCTTTCCCTGATTCTAATGCTTTGCTTTAATCAGCTCTTTCTCAATCTTTTCTGTTCTACTTTACTTGTTTTATCTTTTAATATTAAGAAATCGGTCGGGTTACGACACCGTCTTTATACTCCATTTCGTCGAAAACTATTATTCGTACGGTGAAAATGTATAGAATCTAAAATGTTTATCTCTGTAAGATCTAAAACTTTTGTCTAAAACATTTATCATGATTTTTTGTATTTACTGAGATAAACGTAAAAAACTAGAATTTTTATGGGTTTTTCATGGTTTTTACCATGATAATCAAGTAGTCGCCAATTTTCACTATGATATTCGTAATCAGCGCGTCATTTGTTCAAAACGTTTTTCTCTAAAATGCTTAGTTTTTGAAAGAAAAGGAGTGTACGGGTGGTTTAAGACACCCTGTATATACAATTATTGTAATTTGTATTAACATTTAACGGCAATAGGCTCAGAGTACAAACAATTAAATGGGAATACTGGCAGAAGAACCAAGGCGCAGGTATCGGTGCGCGAATTTATATGGATTCTATACAAATAAGAGAATAACATCCAAACGCCAAAGATAAACATGTTTTCACAGCTACCTTTCATCAGTTGTTTTCACGCTTACCTTTCATCAGTTGTTTTCACGGCTACCTTTCATCAGTTGTTTTCACGGCTACCTTTCATCAGTTGAATATCGGTTTAATTTAATGTATGTACATATTTACTATTCTTGATAACGAAGGTTTCATAAAGATCCATCTAGCAATGTCCTATTCGAATATGGAAGCATATGATATGCTGCTAATTTTGGGTGAGTGTAGAGATTCATTCTCTGCAGCTGAAATATTATGGCGACAGCGTTATCCTGATCAAACACCTCATTCACGCAACGTTTTTTCACGTTTGGCTAAACGAATACAAAACGAAGGTGTCATTCAGCCTCACCATAACAAGGGTAGACAAATCCACCATCCAATTAGGGATGAAAGAGCAGCGGAAATTCTTGAATCGGCAGAATTAAATCCTCGTGATTCCTTAAGACGCCGAGAAAGAAATTCTGGTGTTAGTCGTAACAGTATCTGGCGCGGTTTCAGACAAAACAAATTTCACCCTTACAGAATGTCTCTTTATCAAGCATTGAATAACAATGATTTTCATCAGAGACTTGCATTTTGCAACTGGATAAGACAACCACCTGATTTTCATCACAAAATTTTGTTTTCTGATGAATGTACATTTAAAAGTGATGGATCTGTCAATACTTGGAACTGTCGTCATTGGTCACTGGTTAATCCTCACCGGTTGAGAGAAATAGACCATCAACATGTATGGAAAATCAATGTTTGGTGCGGTATTATTGGAAATCGCATCATAGGTCCTATTTTCTTTGAAGAAAATCTAAACGCTGATAGATACTCAGCCTTGATAGAAACAGATCTTCCTGTCTTGTTAGAAACTCTTCCTCTGCGATTGCGCCTGGACATGTGGTTCCAACAAAATGGATGTCCGTCGCATACATCGAGAGTTGCCCGTACAATACTAAATACTATGTTTCCCAACAAGTGGATTGGCAAATACGGTCCGATCAATTATCCACCCCGATCGCCGGACCTCACTATCCTTGATTATTTCTTATGGGGAAGGGTAAAAGATATGGTGTACCGTGAACGTCCAACTATAAAAGATAATATGATTCATAGGATAAGTGAAGCAATTCTATCCTTAGGCGATGATGAGATTCTTCGAGCAACCAATTCTTTCCAAAATAGAATAGATGCTTGCATCGCAGCGAACGGTGCTCACTTTGAATATTTTGTTTGAACATACATACACCTCACTCACTCAGAAACGTGTGTGCGAACGTTCATAAGGTACCGTACATGCAAGCACACACACATCCTTGTCATTAGTTACGCCACAGGAACATTTGAAGTTCATAATTTCATCACAGTTACTTTCAAGGTCAATTTTAAGGTTGACAGAGGCACTTTCAGAAAAAACGTTTGATACAAAAGTTTCTTATTTTTTCACGTACAATTCGAATCTGTAATAAAAAGTACTATGTTCCCCTCAAAAAATTCAACTTCCGGTCCGGATGGCGTACTTCCGGTCGGAATCAAAAGTTGAAAATATCGCCATTCGATAGAGCATACCCGATTTACTTAAAAAATGTTCGCGATTTTTGATAAAAGCCATTTATTTTCATTTTAAAAGGGGTGTACGGATAATCTGAGACACCCTGTATAATAGCATTATATAACTAATTTTTAATAGCACTTAGATAAAAAGATTTCTAAACAAAAGACTGCACTTATTTTTCAGGTTTTATTTTTTTCAATAATATATAAAATAATTAAATAAATGATATCTTATTTTTGTAACTATATTTTACAAAATATTTATCCATTAATTTTTCTTTGCAGGCGACAATTATTAAAGCTGATAAAGACCCAAGAGGCAAATGACTCTCGGCGCACTAGCATTACTGAGGGTATTAACGAATCTATCAATTTGCAAAAATCGGTTGAATTATTTCCCGATATAATGGATTCGATAATTAGTACCCAAACAATGCAGTGCCTTGAGTCAACTTCAAATACAGGTATGTGTGAAAATGTTGAATTTTGCGAAGATAACAATAATTTTGTTATCGAAAACGGCCTTCTGGATACAAATCGTATCCAGGAAAGCATGCCTGAAGATCGTAGCATTGTCGACATTGCTTTTCTGTGGAATTAAATCCATAGAACATTCGATAACCATGCGCGAGGAATAGAGTGTCAATTTAAGGATTGGAAACTTATAAATTCTCGTCGCAATGGGTTAAAGACGCAGTTGTTCTTCAAATGCCAAATGTGCAATTATGAAGCCAACATCTGGAGCTAACCCAAGAGGCAAATGACTCCCGGCACACTAGCATTACTGAGGGTAGTAACGAATCTGTAAATATGCAAAAATCGGTTGAATTACTTCCCGATATAATGGATTCGATAATTACTACCCAAACAATGCAGTGCCTCGAGTCAACTTCAAATACAGGTATGTGTGAAAATGTTGAATTTTGCGAAGATAACAATAATTTTATTATCGAAAACGGCCTTCTGGATACAAATCGTATCCAGGAAAGCATGCCTGAAGGCCGTCGTATTATCGACATTTTTTTTTCTGTGGAGTGAAATCCATAGAACATTTGATAACCATACACGAAAAATAGAGTGCCAATTTAAAGATTGAAAACTCGTTAATTCTCATCGCCGTGGGTTAATGACACAGCTGTTCTTCAAATGCCAAATGTGCAATTATGAAGCCAACATCTGGGCAGAACCCACAGAGTTGCTCGACCCTGAGCTCCCTAGCTCCTAGTGGCCAACGATCCCAGAACAAACCCCGTGCCTCCACCGAGGGGCACAACACATAAAACATAGAGAAAATTTAGTCAATGATTTTCAAAAAACAGCCATGGAAAATATGAAAATGGCTGGCAAAGTTGAAAGACAACTCGCTATTGAAAAAAATGAAGTTATAAACGGTATTCCGTATATAACAGTAGTAGCGGATGGTAGTTGGATGAAGAAATCGTACGGCAATGCCTATGATTCTCTTTCCAGATTTCTCTTATTGGAGCCATAATTTGTTACCGCACGGGAAAGATTCTCTTTGTTGGTATCCGCAATAAATTTTGCACGCTATGTAATGTAGCAGAGCGAAAAGGTATAGAACCAAGAGCTCACAAATGCTATAAAAATTTTGATCGGAACGCAAGCTTCACAAGCATGGAGAGCGATGCCATCGCGGAAGGTTTAAAATATAGCCTCCAAATGCATGGTCTGATTTATAAAACGGTTGTTGCCGATGGTGACAGTAGCGTTTATCAGGCCATTCTTGATAACAGACCATACCGTGACCATTTGGTTAGAGTAAAAAAAATAGAATGCACTAATCATTTGCTTCGCAATTTATGCAAGAAGCTAAAAGCTGTGGCTGAAATAACTTAACCAAAAATGCATAGACAGCGTGGCGCGGAAGGTTTAAAATATAGCCTCCAAATGCATGGTCTGATTTATAAAACGGTTGTTGCCGATGGTGACAGTAGCGTTTATCAGGCCATTCTTGATAACAGACCATACCGTGACCATTTGGTTAGAGTAAAAAAAATAGAATGCACTAATCATTTGCTTCGCAATTTATGCAAGAAGCTAAAAGCTGTGGCTGAAATAACTCAACCAAAAATGCATAGACGTGGTTTTGTAGAGATGCGAAATGTTGTACAAAACAACATTTTAAAAATACGAAAAGAAATAATAGAGGCAGCCGCTTTACGAAGAGAAGAAAGACAACCTCAACATTGTCAGGCTATGGAATTACAAAAAGATATATTGAACATCCCTAGCCATATTTTTGGCGAACATAAGCGATGTGAAGCACGTGGTCGTAAACATGTAAAGACAATTATGATGAAAAAAAAAAATTATGTACAGTTTCTAAAATTACACGGTCTCTATGCAAAAATAGAAAGTGCTGTCATATACATAAGTGTTTATTCAGTTTATTGTTAAATTTAACAAATAATCCAGCAGAATCGTTTAACTCGATAATCTGCAAACAAATTGGCGGAAAGCGTATTAATTTTAGCAAACGAGGCTCCTATAATGCTAGAATTGCGGGAGCAGTTGTGCAATACAATACGCAACAAGTACTTACATAAGTACATCAAAGCATGTGTAAGACTGTTCCGCCTATTGTCGAGAACCTGGAAAAGCGACGACAAATAAAAGTTGCAAAAACCAGAGAATCTCGAGAAGTACAAGGAAAGCAAAAAAAAATTCAAACGAGAGCCAAGAACAGATCGTCATTACGGTCCGCAATCGCAAAAACCGAATTTTTCATCCAATAAATTCCAACAACTTCAGCAAAACTATTTAGAAAAATTGTTGGAAAATGCGATAAACTGGGAGAAAATTGAATTTGATACAAGAAAGCAGAGTGAATCAGAATTATGGTTATCATTGAGACGAGAAATGTTGACGGCATCCAATTTTGGAACCATATGTCGCATGAGACCGCCAACGTCTTGCACAGCGACAGTAAAAGCCATTTTATATCCTTCATTCATTGATACCGCAGCCACAAAATATGGTCCCGAGAATGAAGAAGTAGGAAGGAAAGAATTAGCCATACAATTAAATAAAGAAATAAAACCTTGTGGATTATTCATCGATACTGAAAATCCATGCTTGGGTGCTTCCCCTGACGGACTTATTGATAATAATGGTGTGGTGGAAATCAAATGTCCTTTGTGAACTGCTGAAAACTGGCTGAAAATTTAACAGCGAAAAAAGCCATTACCTTCTTTAAAAGGTATTTTTGAAAAAAATAATCCGCACAAAATGAATCGAAAGCACAGATATTATTATCAAATTCAAGGTCAATTAAATATTACACACCGAGAATATTGTATTTTTGCTGTTTGGACTCCAAAAAGCATGAAAATATTGCGCATTGATAGAGACAATATTTTTTGGAGAAATCAGATGCTGCCTTCCTTAACACGCTTCTATAACGAATGCATGCTTCCAGAAATCTTGGACAGTCGTCATAATAGACATATGACAATAAGAAATCCAAGATATATTATGGAAGCTAAAGAAGAAGATGAAAAAAAATTATTTAGTCAAACAAGTAGACAAAATATTATAGTAAGCGAAAATGGCATGGAAAAGAACAAATGATTCAAACCGAACGTTTCACCAATGGAAATAGCAACGACTAATATTGTTACTATTGCTCTGAATAAAGAGCAAGGAAAGCTTGCAAGAGCAGGGGATTCCAGCTAATAATATACCTGCAAGAGAATTTGCTGAAGCGTCGTCGTTGAACCAATTGACAACGGACAACGCGTCATGCCGCCAACATCAAGCGGAACAACCTGTGTATGTCGAAAGCTTGCAAGAGCAGGGGATTCCAGCTAATAATATAACTGCAAGAGAATTTGCTGAAGCGTCGTCGTTGAACCAATTGACAACGGACAACGCGTCATGCCGCCAACACCAAGCGGAACAGCCTGTGTATGTTGAAAGCTTGCAAGAGCAGGGAATTCCAGCTTATAATATACCTGCAAGAAAATTTGCTGAAGCGTCGTCGTTAAACCAATTGACAACGGACAACGCGTCATGCTGTCCTTTGTGAACTGCTGAAAACTGGCTGAAAATTTAACAGCGAAAAACTGGCTGAAAACTGGCTGAAAATTTAACAGCGAAAAAAGCCATTACCTTCTTTAAAAGGTATTTTTGAAAAAAATAATCCGCACAAAATGAATCGAAAGCACAGATATTATTATCAAATTCAAGGTCAATTAAATATTACACACCGAGAATATTGTATTTTTGCTGTTTGGACTCCAAAAAGCATGAAAATATTGCGCATTGATAAAGATAATATTATAAATATCCAAAATATTGTAACTGTCAAAAAATTTTGTTGCAATGTTTTGGAGAGAATATATTTGGACAAATATCACATCATGTGTACTTATGTCCTACAAATATATAAACATTTATGTGGTGAAGAAATTTATAGTACTGAGCTCTCGATCATATCGATTATATTTATATACTAACGATGATAAAGATTTATCATCGAATTCAAAAAGCTTGTCATGATGTGCAAAAGAATATCATCAAGAAAAAAATCTCAATGCGAAGATTATCTGTATTGGAGAGACAAAAAAATATATGGTTGTGTCTCACAAGAATAGGCGATAGAGGGGCCTATTCTTTATTAACAATATTCAGGATATTGTAAATTCAATATTCAAAATATTGTAAATTCATTATTCTCGATTATAGTCACGATTGAGATAAATATATAATATATTGTAAATGTTTGTAAATGTATACTACAAACGGACAACGCGTCATGCCGCCAACACCAAGCGGAACAGCCTGTGTACGTTGAAATATCAAGAAAAAAATCTGTTGAAACGGAGCGAACAACGGAGAAACCATTTTTACATGTTGAAACAACAACGCAAAGACGCACTTTAGACGGAAAATATGAAATAATACTGATCCTAACCCCGAAGGAAGTTTAATAATGACTCAAGAATGAAGTAATGACGAATAACCTAAAACGGCGGTTCAACTGAATGACAAACAAATACCACAAGCCAACGAGGCGAAATATCTGGGTATACACCTAGATAGTAAACTAAACTGGAGAACACACATATTTACAAAACGTAAGCAATTGGGACTAAATCTGAGAAAACTCTACTGGCTCCTGGGACGGAAATCTCAACTAAATATAAATTGCAAATTGCTCATTTACAAGCTCATTTACATACTTAAACCTATCTGGACCTTTGGAATTCAACTTTGGGGCACTGCTGCTGTTTCCAACATAGAGATCCCTAACAGCACATGATATCATACGAATATTCTATATTTATACTGAATGTACTGTGATCATACGTAATTTACTGAGAACATTCATATAATATCTCTGTAAACGTTATTTATCGTATATTCTCAGGATATACTCAGAATATAGAAACTAAGTTTCGATATTTAAACTGAATATACTATGATTAACTCTAATATACTGAGAATATCCCTATAATATCTTTATGATACATCGTTTGTCCTCTTTTTCGCACATTTTTCGTATATTCTCAGAACATACTCAGAATATATAAATTGAACCATTGGAGCGGTTATGTCTATACACGCCATATTGAATACGTAACTTCCAGTAGTGTCGCTAGTATCAGTCTCTTGTCGCTTATCTAGTCTCATGCCGGCGGATTGTTGCGTATCGCAGATGTGATTTCAATCCAAGGTAATCTCTTTTATTCTTTTAAAATAAAATTACAAAAATCACAATTATAAAAAATACATTTTTGCATATATTTTCATAATATTTTGTGCACACATTTCATAGTTAATAACGAAAAAACTGTTTGTAAATTGGAGGTTATCTCTTCCCGATAGAATTTCATGTTCTTATGTCGTACATGTAAAATAATCTTGTATTCTTTTAACATAAATATGTTATAAAAAAACATAAAACAACTACTGAAAAGATATAGAAAAAATTTACCCAAGCAGAACAGAAAATCACAATAATATTAAATGACATCAAAATGACATCAAAATGACATCAAATGACATCATAATGATTTTTGATAGTCATTATGATGTCATTTTGATATTATTGTGATTTTTTGTTTTGCTTGGGTATTTTATATTTTGTATACATTTCATAGTTTATAAGAAAACTGTACTCATACAATGGGATATTCTTTTTCTTATTACAGATTATTAAGATATTACAAGAGCGTACAATTTTGATAGTGCTACCTATAATAGTGTATTATTAGCATTAATTGCGTCAGCCCTGTGTTGCTATCAAAGGATCAGACGCAAGTTTTTGAGATCTGAATTCAGGTAATTACTTTCTTTCGTGCTGTGCATATATATTTTTAAAATTAATCATATTCTTATAATTTTTATAACATTGAAACAAAATTCTGTAGAAATACAAATTTGGTAGTTTACGAAAAAACTGTACTTATACAAATGGGATATTCTTTTTCTTATTACAGATTATTAAGATATTACAAGAGCGTACAATTCTGATAGTGCTACCTATAATAGTGTATTAGCACTAATTGCGCCAGCCCTGTGTTGCTATCAAAGGATCAAACGAGAATTGTTGACATCTGAATTCAGGTAAGAAACAGAATATTCCATTTGTATGAGTTGTTTTCTCATACAATACAAAATTTGAATTTCTAAAGACTTTTGTTTTGATATTATTAAAACTTTTATTTTAAAGTAAAAAGTTTTATTTCATATTGTCATTTTATTTTGAAAATTGTCAAGTTTCATTCACCGCAATTCACTATACAATGCGTGTATATATATAATATATAATATATATAATATATAAATACTTAATTTAATATTATTTGGTCTGCATTTATAATCATAAACATATCATATTATACAGAAATAAGTGCATGTTACTTGAAAATGGAAATATATAGAAAACGTAAAAGAAAAGATATATCATGCGTATCAAAGCGACACTTAAGCAGATTAGCTGCACAAGAGTCGGAAATTGTTTCTGATGTTTTGCATGATATCTCATCATATAATATCGACAATAACTGTACAAAAAAATTGACTAATGATTGTACGGTGAATTCTGCGACAATAAATATCGATAATAAAATGGAATGCAATGAAAATAATGAAATATTTGTACAATATGAAAATGATGATGCGCTCAAACAATCGGAATACAATACATTAGATTCACAACAATCATCTGTTAATGTTTCCTATAACGATTCAAGTGATGTAGCATTTGAAACTAGAAGAGACAGCAATTTGCAACATGATCTTGCAATCTGGGCAATAGAACATCAAATTAAACATACTGCTTTAGGAGCATTATTACATAGATTAAAGAAACATTCTTGTTTTTCAACATTATCAGTGGATGCACGATCGCTCTTGAAAACACCCAGACAATATGAAATACGTACAGTTGTACCAGGATTATATTATCATTTTGGACTATCAGATTCTATAAGAAGCATATTAACATCCGTAAAGAATATTAATTGCGTAAGAATAGCTGTGAACATTGATGGACTGCCATTATCGAAATCATCCCAGCAACAATTTTGGCCTATATTAGGCTCAGTTCTTCCATATAATAATGTGTTCATAATTGGAATTTATCATGGCAATGAAAAACCAGCGAGTGCCAATGAATTTTTACAAGATTTTGTTAACGAAGCTAAAGAAATATGTGCAAATGGAATTGACGTCAACGGACGGAACATACCATGCAGAATTGAAGCTTTAATTTGTGATGCGCCAGCTAAAGCATTTGTTTTGAACGTAAAAGGACATACTGGATATTCTAGTTGTACGAAATGTATAACGGAAGGAGAATATGTAGGAAATCGAATGTGTTTTCCACAAATTGATGCACCGCTTAGATCAGATAATGATTTTATAAAAAAAATAGATGATAGTTATCACAAGCCAGGTACATGCAGCTTGTTAGATATATCTTATTTCAAACCTGTAACAAATGTTCCATTGGACTATATGCACTTAATATGTTTGGGAATTATGCGCAAATTATTAAATTTATGGCTTGATGGAGAACTACATTATCGATTACAACACAGAGCCGTTAACGAAATTTCGACACGTTTAATAACTCAATTAAAACCATGGATACCCATAGAATTTGCACGAAAACCACGAAAATTAGATTGTCTCAAATTATGGAAAGCAACTGAATATAGATTAATATTATTATATACGGGTCCGTTGGCATTTAAATCTGTATTAAAAAAAAATGTTTATATTCATTTTATGACATTACATGTGATTATGAGGATCTTGTCTTCAAAAGACTTAAATGAATATCTAACATATGTGCAAGACCTGGTTCATTTTTTTAATAAAACATTTATAAAACTGTACGGAGTTCAAAATGTATCACATAATGTTCACAATTTAGTCCATCTTGTGGATGATGTTAAGAGATTTGGACCTGTTGATAACTTTAGCGCCTTTAAATTTGAAAACTACATGCAGATACTAAAAAAATATCTCAGAAAATCAGAGAAACCTTTACAACAAGTTGTGCGAAGATACATTGAAAAAAGAACTTTGTGCACATCACCTGCTTTATCAGATTCTGTTCGGATATATTCAAATTTGACATCGTTACATAATGATGGTCCGCTTATATCGAATTGCTGCTATCCACAATATAAAAGTGTTGAATACAATGGATTCACACTAAAAGCTGGAACACTTGCAGATAGTTGTTGCGGCTTAAATTGTGGTGCAATTATTTGTATTAAAAATATAGCATACTGTACCAAACGAAATATTCCTATACTTATTGGACACGAATTTTTGGAAAAAAAAGACTTATTTAATATTCCTTGTTTGTCTTCAGTGCTTGGCATTTATTCTGTGCACTCATGCTCTGATTTAAAATCGTGGCCATTAAAAAATGTAATTTGTAAATATGTGCAGTTGCCTTGTGGAGAAAACAAATATGCAGTTTTCCCACTCATACATAGCACAATGTAAATAACTTTTCTAATTGTGCAGAATAATGGAAAGACAGACTTCTACGAAAGAAAACTTTTATGCAATAATTGAATTTGAAGACGGATTGCAAATAATTCCTAATAAATGGTTGAGTGCAGATTTAAAAAGGGCTGTATGGCCAAACTTTACGAATAATGCACGATATGACAGGGCTGTAAAACTAATGGAAGAACCGCAATCTACTTGGCTGGAGCATCCAATTAGTAAAATATATGGAACGTATTGTAAGTATTTTCTTAAATATATAATTATCATATATAATTTATGGCATGATAATATGTATATATATATAGATATTTTTTGATAATATAGAAAAATAATATCTATATTAAGAAAATATAACATTATTTCTTTTTCAGTGAACTATATGATGGCAAGAAAAAAATTAAAAGAAGCTGAAGAGTTATCGGATCTAAATTCTGGTACTGATAGAGATGAATTCTTAAAAAAAAGCAGAAAAATCAGAGCCGCTAAAATATTTGACGAAGACACAAGTAATGATGAACAATCGGATGATACTTCTTCACTGATTTCGGATCTTCCAAAAGTTCCTGAGAAGCGTACAAATACCATAACGACGAAAGGTGCAAAAGTGTCACAAACAGGTAAAAGCATGAAATAACATTTGAAAAAATGAACTTTAAAAACAAGAAATTATATTAATAAAATACTGGTTTACAAATTGCAGATTGTAATTATGTAAATAACCCTAAAAAGAAATTTTGTAAAGAACACAAGCTAAAGGATACAAGATCGTGGACAAAATCACAGGAAATATTTTCAGGACATCATCAGGACAATTTTCGTAAATATGATATTTTTCCAGAAAATATAAAATAAAATGTATCATTATTATGTTTCACAATTACAACAATACAAAACGCAAAAATTAATATTGACTCACATATATAATTACAACTATAATTAAAAAAAAAAATGTAAATAGCAAGAAGTTTTAATCATACATTTTATTAGATTTTTAAGAATTCTTTATTTAATTGTAAATTTATTATTTTATATAATTACAATTAAAAATATAAGTATATGTTTTTCAACACTATCATATGAAGTTAATAACTATAATTAATATAATTGGGTATTGGAATTTATATAATGTTATAAACTTTTATCCCTATATATGTTTTATACTTATATATTATTGTCTAATATTTTATTTATATAAATAGAAATTCTATTTATATCATAAATGTTTTGTGATATTCTTGCAAAATAGGATTGATATTAAAAATTACTGTGTGTTTAAAATAATAAAAAATAGTATTTGTATATTGTTGCTAATTAACATTAAAACTTGATGTAACATTGAAGTATACTAAATTGAACATTGAAGTACAATAAAAATTTTTTTTTTTAGGTGAACAATGTGATGAACCTAACTTGCTCAATATGGACACAGAACAATCATTTAGTACCGATTTAAATGCTAATGAGTTTATCGAAACACAATTCACAAGTATGCACTCCCGACAAAACCAATTTGACACAAGGAATACGGATAGTGACACAAGGATACTTTCGAATTTGACCAATAAACCAGGTAACATATTAATTGTATTTCTTTTTTTTTTTATTTTAGTTACGATTATTTGTTGCATAATTTAGAGTATTGACGATGAAGACTTGCTTAATATGTCCACAGAACAATCATTTACTACCAATTTAAATTCCGGTAATGAGTTTATCGAAACACAATTCACAAATATGCACTCCCGACAAAAACAATCTGACACAACGAATATGATACTTTCAAATTTGAAACGAGGTAATATATTAACTACATTCTCTTTTTTTATTTTAGTTACGATTATTTGTTGTATAATTTATAGTATAACACGAATGATACATAATGTTTATATTGGAAGAATTTTCTTTAATATTTTTTTTAACATTTCTTATATTTTTAATCTCTACATAGAAACAGAAAACTTTCAACGGTTTGTCGTTGGGAAGTTGATAAATTTAGAATTGAAAATAAATTCTATTGAAAGGAATCAAAAACAAATCATTGAAAAACTTCCGATTACTGATTTTAAAGAAAATGAAGATGAAAATATAGATATTTTTCAAGACTTGCCATTGAAAAATAAAAATGATGTCGAAGCAATGGAAACAAAATTAATAAACGATAAAATTTATCGAAGCCAGATGGTGAGTTCAATATTATTATTTTAATCCTGTAAAGTATCTTTGAAAAAAAGATAGAACATTTTTAAATTTGATAAAACGTACAATTTTTAATAAAAATCTTATAATATTATAAATTATTGTTAAAAACTTTGAGTATTATACTTTTGAATGTTACGTAAATTATAATTATAATGGTATTACTAAATTTATTATTTGCTACAATATTTGACATTAGTTAATTTATTTAATGTATATAAGTTTTTTTCTGAAGAACAATAGACATGCATATTTATGTTCCACAAGCTTTTTCAATAATTTTGTACAAAGTTATAAATATTTATATTGTAACTTTTTTAATCACAATTGCTTTTTAATTTCAAAATTTATATCTTTGTTTAGGAATATTGTATATAAAAAATATTTCTCTAAAAAAATTAAAATATAATATAATGAATATATATAACAAATATAAAAATAAAATTATATAGTTTTGACTAAATTTTTTGATAAAAATAATTATTTGTACATAAATTATAATAATTATATAGTTTTGACTAAATATTGATAAAAATAATTATTTGTACATAAATTTTATACTAATATGCAAAATAATTTAGTATAAAATATTTGAGAACACATTATTTCCACATTATATCAAATATAAATTGTTTTGTGAAATTTTATATCTAACGCATACAAATATAATTTGTTTTGTAAAATTGTATATATAACGCAATTTTTAATAATTTTAGATTAAACAATTGGTTCGTGTTACATGCAAGGATCTAAAAACTTCATGTATACATTTAATGAGGAAAGTTTTCTCAAATAATGCAGCAGTTCATTACAGTTGGTATGGCGCAAAGAAAAAACAAAACTTTTCGCAGCTACAAATTTGTCAAGTAATTATGTGTAAGTAGAATAAATTCTGAATATAATCTTTATTTTATATTACTAAAATAATGATTCTTTTTATAATTAAAAGACATTTCAAAAATATCTATAAAAGTTCTTTTATTTAATCAAGTGAAAAGAAAATATAGTAATTTTGAGATATTTAAATATTCCTTTTTATATAGTGAAAATTAAATATAGAAACATTTCTTAATTACTTTAAATTAGTTTTAAGAAAGTCTTAAAATTTATTTTAAAATTAATAAATGAATAATTTCTAAAAATATTTTACTTTTTTCAGGTGTAATAAGAAAACTACATCCAAATGCAATTGATGAGGAAATATCCGCTCCCATAAAAATATGGCTAGCCCACGCCAAAGAACGTATGGGGAGAGAAAAGGAACAAAACATGGAAGACCAAGAATGAATGGATGGAAACTTCCTATTTGAAAATAAAGTCTGCTCTAATTTATTGTTTTGCGTATAGAGATATATACATGTTATTTTCTTTTTTTTTATCGAATTTTAGTTTTAAGCGTACAAAACATGTTCAATATTGTTTATTTCTATAAAAGACTTTACTTTATTTTAAAATTTAGACTCATATATATATTTTTATATATGTATACATGAAATGTTTAATACGTTTATTATGTTTATATGTTTATTTTCTTTTTATTATATAATTTTAGTTTTAAGCGCACAAAACATTTAATATTGTTCACATAAAAGACTACGTAAAATTTATACTCATATATATATTTCTACATATGTATATGAAATGTTTAATACGTTTATTATGTTATTTTGTTTATTTTCTTTTTATTATATAATTTTAGTTTTAAGCGCACAAAACATTTAATATTGTTCACATAAAAGACTACGTAAAATTTATACTCATATATATATTTCTACATATGTATATGAAATGTTTAATACGTTTATTATGTTTATATGTTTATTTTCTTTTTATTATATAATTTTAGTTTTAAGCGCACAAAACATTTAATATTGTTCACATAAAAGACTACGTAAAATTTATACTCATATATATATTTCTACATATGTATATGAAATGTTTAATACGTTTATTATGTTTATATGTTTATTTTCTTTTTATTATATAATTTTAGTTTTAAGCATATTTTATATAAAATGTATATTTTTTACTTACGTATGTTGATTTATTATACATGTACTTACATTATATTTATATTATTCATGTATACACATTACTTTTACATGTACTTGTAAATATTACAAGTAAATAAAATATTAATAAATATTAATTTATAAAAGATAAATAGAGTACAAATTAATCTAACCTAACATAACCTAATCAGTATATATGCATAATATATCAGTGACATACTGGAGATATAACGTTAACATTCTATAGATATCCTTGGTTTATACCATAAGATCTTCTCAGTATATACTATGAACTAAAATAGGAGGACATTAGAGCATTCTTAGTACGTACTCAGTACGTCATAGTACGTATTTCGAATGTTCTGAGAATATACGCAATATACTTTTGCGATATACTTCGAACATTCTCAGTATCTACATGTGCTGTTTGGGATCATATAGAGATTTCAGACGAAAATACTAAGAATAATTGTAGATGCGCCGTAGTATATAACCAATGACAACCTCCACAAAGACTTAAATATCCCGACTGTGAAAGAAGAGATAAGAAGAATGGCGTTAAGTTACAAATCTCGTCTCGAAAACCACCCAAACACTCTCGCCAGTAAGTAGTTGCAATCTCTAACTGTAGAAAACGTAGATTAAAACGTAAAACTCTTCAAGATTTATTTTTGAACTAGTAATTTACAAGTATAAGTAGGAGGAATCGTTGGATTCCTACCGAGCCCGCCTGAAGATTCGTATTTACCTATTGATAAATGCCCTTAAATGAGGCAGATGGCAATAATTTATTAGGAGTTAAAAAAAAAATTTATTTATGATTATAAAAAAGCTTTGCATAAGTACATGACTCCATCAAATTAATGTCAATATGATGTTTAACTTTATTCCTGAGATATGACATTTTTCAATTCTTGCATACCGGTGAAACCGAAATTGGTCACATATTATTATACAGTGTTTGTTAATCAACGCCCACTATTTACACAGCATTATTCTTCATTAAAAATAGAGTCGGAAAGTTCTGAGCCATTTTGTCGGAGATCCTTATTTATGGCGCGGCCGGGAGCCACTAGTGTGATTCGGGCATAAGCTGTAAATTATATTTCTGGTAACGTAAAGTCCGCTTGAAATTAATCGAAAAAAACAATTTTGTTATCCATTTTGTCGTCCGAAGCATAGAAAAGCTTTATTTTTTTCACTCGCTTTTATATCGCATCCACTCGACATCTCGACATTTGCGTTTTTATTGAAATATTTTCTGTACGGACAACGCGTCATGCCGCCAACATCAAGCGGAACAGCCTGTGTATGTTGAAAGCTTGCAAGAGCAGGGGATTCCAGCTAATAATATACCTGCAAGAGAATTTGCTGAAGCGTCGTCGTTGAACCAATTGACAACGGACAACGCGTCATGCCGCCAACATCAAGCGGAACAGCCTGTGTATGTTGAAAGCTTGCAAGAGCAGGGGATTCCAGCTAATAATATACCTGCAAGAGAATTTGCTGAAGCGTCGTCGTTGAACCAATTGACAACGGACAACGCGTCATGCCGCCAACATCAAGCGGAACAGCCTGTGTATGTTGAAAGCTTGCAAGAGCAGGGGATTCCAGCTAATAATATACCTGCAAGAGAATTTGCTGAAGCGTCGTCGTTGAACCAATTGACAACGGACAACGCGTCATGCCGCCAACATCAAGCGGAACAGCCTGTGTATGTTGAAAGCTTGCAAGAGCAGGGGATTCCAGCTAATAATATACCTGCAAGAGAATTTGCTGAAGCGTCGTCGTTGAACCAATTGACAACGGACAACGCGTCATGCCGCCAACATCAAGCGGAACAGCCTGTGTATGTTGAAAGCTTGCAAGAGCAGGGGATTCCAGCTAATAATATACCTGCAAGAGAATTTGCTGAAGCGTCGTCGTTGAACCAATTGACGACGGACAACGCGTCATGCCGCCAACATCAAGCGGAACAGCCTGTGTATGTTGAAAGCTTGCAAGAGCAGGGGATTCCAGCTAATAATATACCTGCAAGAGAATTTGCTGAAGCGTCGTCGTTGAACCAATTGACAACGGACAACGCGTCATGCCGCCAACATCAAGCGGAACAGCCTGTGTATGTTGAAAGCTTGCAAGAGTAGGGGATTCCAGTTATTTTTTTCACTCGCTTTTATATCGCATCTACTCGACATCTCGACATTTGCGTTTTTATTGAAATATTTTCTGTATTAATTATAAATATAACGTTTCATATTTAAGAATTATTGCACGAAAATATTTGTATAATTAAATGTTTATTTTGTATAATATATCATTATAGTAATATTAATAATTTTTATTTCTATTTGTAATTGACAGGAGTGGTACGAATCCATAAACCGGAATCAAGTGATAAACAGATAGCTGAAATTAAATCGAGTTGGCTAGTGCATGCTAAGTGGCGACAGCAAAGAGCAGAGTATGTATATTCATTAATAATAAGAATTATATGTTAAATATAAATATTTTACCGCGTATATATATCATAATATATATATAAATAATAATTTAAAATATTTGTAAAAAGTCGCGATTTTTAAAGATCTGTGCTGTATAAGGTATCATAAATTTTGCGTTAACTGTAGACATTTTTATAAGACAAAAATGAGAAAGCAGCAAGAGTGCGAAGCTGTCTTGGAAGACGTCTCCGAAGCAGAACTATCAGTTCTAAGTTTTATATTTTATTATATATATATAAATAAAATAATACATAATATATATTAATAATATTATATACATATAGCTTTTATATTTTTAAAAATATCAATAAAGAGCTCGTTTTCTTTAATTTAATGTATTTTTTTGCGATTCCTTATTAAAGAAAAAGAAATAGTTGAGGGGATTTCAAGGGTTTCTTATTAAAAATAATATTAGGATAAGATTTCTGGCATGTTTCATAAATATTAATACAACATTACCCGCAAGATCTCTGGGATGTTAATGGAATGAGTTTGGACGAACATTTTCATGTTGCTGGGAGGTTAATAGCAGATTTATTAATCTCTGTGGAATGTTACCATCTTACAATTTAAGGTGATTATAACGTTATTGGGATGTTGATGTGCTGTGAGGGAAGTTTCTCATTTTCAAAAGTGAGTTTCATGTTAATATTTTTTTTTATTGAACTTCAATCATCGTGGAAAGCGACTGAAAAGGAGATTGGAAGAAAATTGACGGATAAAATCGACAGTTTGCAAAAAGAAATAAATACTCTCACAAACATCGAAGAGTCATCAGAAAAGACGTCTCATGAAGGGAATGAGTCAAATTGGAATGGCAAATTTCAGGGCGCTGTTCTATACACGGTTACCGATATCTGTAAATTCTGATATATCAAAAAACATATCCAAAGACACTTACAGAACCTATGACTATCGATAGCTATGTATAGAATAGCAATCTAAAGCTCTTTCATTCCTTATTTGTTATTAGATTTAGAATCTTTTATTGGACACAATATACTTTAATTTTTATTAAACTCTTAATCTTTCACTATTAGTATTTTAAATTGTTTCGTTTAGTCGAATTCGAAATCTGCTATTGACATTAATTTATGTTTACATTAATTTTCAGAGTGAAAACCTATGCAATTGGCGAACACAGCGTCTATAGCAACTCCATTTAATCCACGTACTTTTGAAGGCGTCAAACGAAAATGCACTGTTTAAAGAAAATAAAGAGTAAAATAATAGTAGTCGTAGTAGTAACAAATAGTGAGTCTCCAGAAATTGTTTCGACATAGGGAAAGCATAAGAAACGAAAGAACGTTTCAGAATAATTTCTATAAGATCAGCGTAAAAGCGATCAAGCGTAAAATAAATTGTTTCGAAAACTTTGAAACTTGTATATATATAATATATATTATATATTGTGTATGTATTTAATTTTCTAATTATTAATAATATCGTTGATTGGCGGGCGGTTCTTCGTTGCCCACGGCACATTCCGCGCGTGGCTGGACTATCGATTCCGTGATCCCGGAAATCGAATTTACAATAAAAGAAACCGAGTTGGGCGCCAGATACGGAAGGCCGCACCACGTAAAAAGATAGCGAGCACAAAAGAAATGTTACGGAACCGACAATTACACGCGACGACAAAATACGCAGCTACTCAATAGCCACAAGTTCTTTAACATCTAATCAAATAAAGAGAAAAATATGAACATGTACTTACTCGTTAAGCGGCTGCCGACTGAAAGAATCCGTGACACTGTTGAATAAATGTGTAATGACAATTGCTTTGTCCATAACAATACCAGATGGTAGCTTGACTGGATCCTCTATAAGAGTGTCCATCAATGGATCCCGAAATTCCTCAGGAGTGTCGTCGCGCGCGCGATTGTCTCTCGCGATTATCGTTGCACGCTCAGCGAAAGCTATGAACTTTTCAATTTCCGTCGTAGTTTTGATGGCGGATTTTTCTAGTCTACTCGAAGCATCGGTGAATAAATCTTTACAAAACAAACGCTGCAAAAATAAATTTATATATATCAATATTAATATAATTTTTATTAATGCCATTTGACTTTCCTACCCATTTCGCGGATAAAGAAACAATATGAAAAAATACTATATAATATCACTTACTTGCTCTTGAGATCTTCGTTATCATCCTGCAAGCGTTTGATATCGAGCTCGAACTTGACGCGTTCCGTGTCCACCTCATCGAGCAGCTTCTGCTTGTGAGAGAGTACGGCCTCGATGTTGGGCATCTCTCGAGTGAAGGTCTCCTGGGTGGTTTGTACCGCCCGCTTCAACCGGGAGTTCGACTCGAGATAACGCATCGTCTCGATGTAAGATGGCGGACGATTGTTGAGGTTGAGCGGGCTGCCTGGCCGGATCGGCGTCAACGTGCTCGGCGGCGATTGAATAATCCACGACGATGAGGCGGTGGTTATCGCGGACGGAACGGTTGTCGCGGAGAATGCAGTAGTTATCGCGGACAGGACGGTTGTCGCGGAGGATGCAGCAGTTATCGCGGAGGACGCGGCGGCCGTCGTCTTCTTCCTAGACTTGGTTTTCTTACTAGACATTGTTGTCGTTGAGGAATTATGGTAAGTGGGTACGTGGTCTTTCCCTCGTATGCGGTTTCCCAGTTATATGTCGCGACTAACGTTCTAAGACCAAGTCCCAAGACCAAGATACCCAGGGCCAAAAAGAGACGGAAAAATATCGGGCGCGTATGTACTAGCAAATCGTCAACTCGAAATTGCCGAAAGCGTTAGCGATCACCACGTGTGATTTTATTTGCAATCGGATAATCTCACACTCCTTGCAGCTAAATGCGCACTGCCGGACCGGATGCCGGCTGCCGGCTGCCGGTGCTGGGCCATAGTATAGACACAGTATAGTGTGACGTCCCGCCAATTTTCGAAACCATATTTTAACTAATAATATGAATGCTTGGTTTTCCTTCACCTCTATTTTCTGTTGGCCACCCTGCTAATTTTAACCGTTGGTTAATCTAACCGGACTTGGTGAAATTGGCCCTAAATACCGCTTTTATTCTCGTATTATACCTATGGAATATAGAACAATTATTTAATCCATTTGCTTTTATTTCAATTATTAATCAATATCATTAATTGCTTCTAGTTCCATATGATTATTTATCTTAGAAATTAAATGCATTTTAATTCTTTTAGCAATAATAATCGATTGCGCAAGGAATTGAGGATTCCTTGGATCAACCAATCAGAAAGCTTTATTTAGAACTAGCTAGTCGCGCAGTAGTAATACTCTAGAACTAACCGATAGTTACTTTAAGAACAGGCTTGCAAGCGAACTTTAAGCGGGAAGCACACACTTTTGCATAAGCGCATAATCACAAGCATAAGGAAATTGATTGGTCCATTTCCTTATGCATAACGAAATTGACCAATCAATTTCCTTATGTTTATGATTATGCGCTTATGCAAAAGTGTGTGCTCCCCGTTTTAATCTAACCAATTAATTAATATACAGATGAATAATTAAACAGATATTTAATTAATTAATATACAGATAAATACACAATAAGTATTCCGGCGCAAACATAAATAATATAATTAAAATAAATAAAGCAAAAGGAGTATACGCACCGTACTTTATGGAATCATAATATAATAATAATTTGTTAGAATTTTCTTCATATCCTCTGCAAATAAGCATAAACCTTTCAGTATTATTTAAGCCTTATTCGTAAAATAAAGAATTACAATTCAATAACTTTATAATGACTAATTAAAAACAAATTATTATAAAATGTTTCCATAAAGGGACATTACTCAATTATCACATTAATTAATATGCCTCCATTATAGCATATTTTAGTCAAGCGATTATAAATATTTAAGTATACAGGTTTAAGAAACTTATATTTTATGGACTCATAGATTATATATGTAATACATATATAACAATTCAATCAGAATAATGAGACAAATAATGAGACAAATCAATTAGTATAAAAAAATAATTGTTTTTAAGAAAAAGTATGTAATTATTTACGTTTTTTTTTTTTTACTTTAATTGATTTGTCTCATTATTCTGTACATAAAAGTATTACGGTAAGATTATCGAAAACTAAATATTTTACGTATTTTTATTTTTTATCGAACGTGATTGGTTTTTACTTTTAGAACCAACAAATCAACGTCGAGTGTTGACAAGACGATGTTCAACGATTGTATCTCCTGACGCGTCCAATTACTAAACAACTAAACGTAAAGTCCATATCAGACTATGCATTGAGATTGAAATTTGACCAATCAAGACAAAATTTTAGTTCCCTTTGTCCTGATTGGTCAAATTTCAATCTTCAATACGTAGTCTGATACGGGCTTAAAGTCTGTATAAGTACCGATCTACAATAGGTGGTTTAAGCCCTAAGCCTTAAGAAATTGACTAATCACAGTCGAGTATTCTCCTCATACTTGATTGTGATTGGTCAATTTCTTAAGGCTTAGGGCTTAAATCACCTATTGTAGACCGGCACTTAAGCCCGTATCAGACTAAGCATTGAAGATTGAGATTAAAAATAAAAATTGTGATTTGACCAAACAGGACAAAAAAATTTTAATCCCTTTTGTTCCGATTAGTCAAATTCCAATCTTTAATCTTCAATCTTCAATCTTCAATGCGTAGTCTGATACGGGCTTTAAGGTGCCTTTACATGACAGCGTTAAGCGTCGAGCGTTTGCGCAGAAAATTGCGCAGAATCTAATTTCAGCCTAGAATCTATCTCGTTTAAATTCTGCGCATTTTTCTGCGCAGACGCTCGACGCTTAAGGGCCACCGCACAAGCTCTTCCGTAAAGCCCGAATCACACTAGCGGCTCACGGCTGCGATTGCGATTGCGATTGCGTTTGTGATTGTGATTAGCTACGCTCCAATCATACTTGCAATTGGTCGATTGTGATTGGCTGAGGCAATCGCAGCCACGAGCCGCTAATGTGATTCGGGCTTAACGCTACCGTGTAAAGGCACCTTTACTGCCAAGGTGTAAAATCTCCCTAAGAGAGCTAACTAGGGCTCTTCGATTAATAAAGAAATGCCCATGTGCAATTTTCCCCTAGGACTCTCCGTCTCCTAGTTATTTTGTAAAAGCTTTAACGCTCGATAACTCCGAAACTATCGATGCGGCGAAAAAAGTCTATATTACCCTTTTTGCAGGCCCTAAGGATATCCTTCGATTCCCATAGGTCCGAATCTCCAATCGTCGATTTGAAAAAAAACATGATTTTACGATTAAGTGTCGGTCTACAATAGTGATTTAAGCTCTAAGCCTTAAGAAATTGACCAATCACGATCAAGTATGAGGAGAATACTCGACTGTGATTAGTCAATTTCTTAAGGCTTAG